GGAGACCCAAATTTCCAAGGGAGCGACCACATTTGAAGAGAAGACAAAGGAGAGCTGTGCAACAACAGCAACTGAGATGCCTGTCTCTATATTCTAGAAATGTTGCCTAGTGTTGCTTTGTATTCTCATGAGAAAATGATAGAATAATAATACACCAAACAGTACATTTCCGACAATTTGTTGATCTGTCACGGATATCTACATAATTAATCTCAAAGATTAGTGTTATACAGGCTTGCTCCAATACAAATTGTCTGACCACAAATTTAAATACTATTACAGGGTCAATTCAATTCCAAATGCAGCCACTTGATGAAAAAAAGCAAAGTCCACCCCTAACTTTCAGTTTGCATCAGTTCACAACTCCATAACCCCATAGCATGTACAATCAATTTGATTCAAACTGAGGCAACTAAAAGGGCAATATGACGAAATGAAGCTTGGGTACAGCTGTAAAGGTGATTATTATAACATAATGACTTAGACCACCTATAAAGGAAATAAATGGTTTCAGATTAACCAGAACGATAAAACAGGATTTCTGCATTATAAACTGCTTGAAGTTGGGGTATAAAGCAATAAGTTAATTATACTATATATTGGTAACTGAATGTACATAAAGCCAAAATTTATCCTTTGCCAAGTTTTTGACATTTTGTATTTAATCAATTTACAATTCTTATATTTTTTATCCCACGACTGTGAAGAGCTCCATAAATTCAAGTTTTATCCTCAGGCTTGAATTTTTTCATGAATGTGAAGTGATCCATAAATTCAACTTTTACCATCCAGTTTGAATTCATTTCAACCTATATTCCATTGAAAGCACATTTCCGTCATAAACCAAGCCCCATCCAAACTTTATAGTAAAGCCGCCTAAATTGTTGTTCTGTGTACTGGCATATCTTCAAACCAACGAGTTATTGATCATTCATGCGCTAATGCAAATTATAGAAGAGTAATGCCAGGGAAAGCCGTTCTGTTTTGCCGCCTTTCAATATCCTCTACCAGGTCTTAACATGTAGCCGCTGCTTTCGAGGCCTACACAGCAAACTGGCCACGGCGTTACAGGGAAGTTTTAGTTCCATTGTGAAACCAAAACTCCACCTACGATTAGTGTAGACTAAGAGGCTTATACATGTGCCTTGCATGACATGAAGAGTTGATGAGAGAGGATTACAAGCGGGGAAATTCAGTGGGAAACAAGCTACCCCCCCCTCCTCCCCCCCAAAAAAAAAACTGCCAACTCAAAAAAAACAAAACACATTGTCCTTAATATTTTTCTAGAAACAATACTACACGATATCATATGATCATATCACCTTGGTGGCCACCATAACAAAAATTGCAGACACAAACAGATATCACCATAAGAATGACGCAAACAAAGTAGCATGCTTTCCAGTAAATGAAGACCATATTATCATATATATGGCACTTCCCCATAGGCACAATCAAACATGTATCAGCACAAACACATCAATCTAACCCAAACAGCGTCCCAAAAACAATTAACAACAAGCTGATTTTAAGTCTCTACTTATCACAAATAATTTAAATTTTACCTCTTGCAGATACTGCTCAACTGAAGCTTCCACTTGGACTGGCACATTGAGTGACCCATGCACCGGCACCTGGAAAGACCCATAATTTCCAGAAGCAGCAGCCGCCACATCTACTGGAGCCTTCATCTCCGGTGTTGTCGTGAAAAAATCCGAAGCCATAATCTTATTCAGCTTCTCTCTCAACCCAGAATCTACAAAATAAACCATCAATTAAAGAACATAAGGAAATCCCCAAATTTGCAAATTGACAAATTGGAAGAACTAATTCATACAGGTAATGGCTGAATTTGCTTCAATGAGCTGATCAGACTTCAAAAGCCAAAGCTTTGCATGCTCGATACACCTTTGCAAAGCATTCTTGTGAGATAAACTCGAATCCACCGGCCGCGAAATCAAAAGACCACCGAGCATCGAGATGAAATCCAAGTCCCTCTCACCAAGCAGATCATTCGAATCATCATCAGTCACATAATCATAGGTCAAACAACACCCTCTTTCGTGAGTCTTCGTCAGCATCGTTGCCGTGAAATCGCTCTGCGACTTCACATCAAACATACTCCCAAAGTAAAGCAAATTCAACAGATCATTAACCACCCCATCATCTTGACTTTCGACCTCCTTGTTCCTGTTATTTTCTTCTGGATCTTTAGTTTCAGCGGATTCGGTGGCGGAGACTGGGTGGCGTTGGATGGCGAGGTTGATTTCTTCGTCGACAGCAACGGAGAGCGGTTGGCGAAGCTTCTCGAGCTCGTCGATGGCGGGGAGGATGGAGGATTTGGACTTGAGAGTTTCCTCTTGCTCTTTATTGATGGGTTTGCCTTGGGCTATAGACTCTTCCATCTGGATTATGCGGTTGTATTTCTTGCGGAGGGCACGGATACGCTTGTTGATGAGAGAGAGGACCGGTCCGTCGCTGACATCGGAGGCTGCAGTGGTCGCCATTCTGGGTGATAGAGTTCGTGTTTGCTTGGAAGAGGAAGGGGTTGCGCCGCCTTAGACGGCTGTTGAGAGTGGGGTTTGAGGGTTTTGCGTGGGGTTTGGGGGAGAGAGAAGAGGCGGCGGCGAGAGGGGACTTGAGGGACAGAGCAAACTGAGTTGGAGAGGACTCAGGGGAGAGAGAGAGAGTACAGTGAATGGATTGGTTTCGGATTCTATTAACGAGCATTATATAGTGGTAAGTCCAATAAGTAATGAGCTAATCTCACTTTGTAGCCCGAAAATGCTTTAATTTTTAATTTATACCCTCAAATATTAAAAATTTTAGTTTATTCCTTTACGGTTATAAATTGGCAGTAATGTGAAACTGCCATAAACTGCCACTTAATTTTCGTCATAAATTGAAATACAAGTGTTTTGGACATAAGGATGATGTATATCCATTGCGGCAAAATTTCATCTGTAATCAATTTGAAACTATTTTTTGTGTATCAAAAATAGAGTTTTATTAATCAAATAAAAATTAATCCTATTACGTGCAACTCACATGAGCAATCAACAATATGTAAATTTATACAAAAATTCAAGTCTAAAGCACTTACAACTCACGTGTTTTAATTTAACTGAACAACGATTTGGACAAAATTCATATTATTATCAATTCATACTATTAAAAATACAAATTAAAATTTTTAATGTTTGAAGATATAAATTAAAAATTAAAATTTTTTTTGAAATACAAAGTGAGATTAACCCATCAATAATTTGTATCCATAGCAACTTTTGATAAATTATGTTTTAAATCCCTACTTTTATATACTAGCACGTGATTATATTTAAATAATAATTTTTCATGAAAAAATTAAATTATATGTGTAATTGAATTGAATACTAAATTATATAATTTTAATTAATTTTTTATTCTAATGTTGTCAAACTTAATTATTGATTGACCCCTTAGATATTTTTTTTGTTTATAATGAATCTTTATTGTAAAATTGTCAGTATTAAATATTTGTACACCTAATTAAATTATAAATTTATTATATTTTTTTGTTAAAAATAAGTGACTAAATTGCAATACTATTGTAATAATATGATATTATTGTATACCAATAAATTAACTATACCATATATTAAACGGTAAAATAATAGAATATAGGTTGAACTTTATTTCTTCGTATAAATATAGAAAATCATATGTTACTACTAATAAATGATTTTAAAAAAAATTAAAAATCAAATATAATTAATAAAAAAAAGTCTAAAAGAACTTAGAAGTCAAATAGGTGTAGGAAATAAAAATTGAATGAAAGTAATATAGAATTTAGAAATCAGATATTGTTAATAAAAGAGTTCAAAAGAATTTAGAAATTAAATCGGTATAAAAAATAAAAATTAGAAGAAACTAATATTTGAGTACCATTGACTTTATAATAAAAACTAAAGATAAAATAAGAAATCAAAAAAATTTCTTAGAATATTTATAAATGGTATATATATAGATATAGATTTAAGCAACTAGTAAAACAATCAACTAATTAAAATTTTAAGTTGTGTTTCGATTAATTTTTTTTGATAGTTTTGAAGTTAATAATAAACCAATCAACTAATTAAATTTTAAAATTTTGTTTCGATTAAAATTTTCTATTCAATTTTTTTTATAGTTCTAAAGTAAACGTGTCACAATTAAAGAATAATTTTGACTAAACTAACTCTAATTTTCGTAGTCTGTGAGGCATTCATATTTGTAATACTTTTGGCTTATCCATATATTTATATTGGTTGAAATTTTTTCTCTGACTTTGGCACGCTACAACACTTGTATGCTTCTTCTCTCTCAAATGCACTTTTCCATCTAAACTTTTAATAATTTCAAGACAGAGGAGTGTAAGTTACCATAATGAGAAAGTGTTATATGAGACAATAGAATTACCCGTATATACCACTAGTTTTTATGGATAGGAATGGTTATTTTGATAATAGATTGATCTCTTCGTGTAATCTTATTTTAGTATTTGGTGCATATAGTTGAGCTTTTATGACAATTGAGTAGATATTATTAGAGATAAACATTCAATAAATCTCCTCGCCAAAGATTTCTGTAAACACATGTATTATGTATATAATTTAAAAATAGAGATTCACCTGCAGAATGAGATAAGGGGAGATCTTGACCTCCGATTCGAGCAATCTCATTAGCCGATGAATGTTTCTAATTGGTGATTTCCATTTTAATGGTAAATGATGGTATAGTTTCCGTAATCGAGTGGATAGACAACACGTGTCCTCGGTGTCATTGACTCAACTCGACAATTTTCTCCGGATTGTTGGGTTGACCTCGACAAAATTTAGTTTACCTCAGCGTAGGGGTACCTCCGAGTACTTTACGCCCCTCTGGCACTATCCACATCACCTCGGCACGTATGGAGAACGTCTACATTTGGTGAACAGTCACCCCGATGCCCGTCCCAACAAAGAGATAAGCTGAAATCTCATAAAAAATAAGAAAAGACAAACTAAGACAAGTATATCTATAATGGAGGTAAAAGCAATTCTAAGCATCATGACTTAGAATGAAATTGACTATCAGTCATTTGTCCGTTTTTTCACGACAATCAGAATGTCCAGAAAGACAATTGAATGACCAATGATAAAAGCGTACTATGTATAAGACTATTAATTTTTGACTCATTGAAAGAGTGATTGACAAAAATACCCCTACACGTGCACAACCATGCCCAAGGCACATTAAATGGTTGTGCGGAGGCAGGGTTGTATTCATTGCTCGGCGGAGCCAAGAAGTGTGCATTAAATACTCGAGACCCCGAGCGAAAACCTGCAAAAGCTTTTTGGTGCAAGGAAAAGCAGGCACTCTGATCAAAGTCTGCGCACCAAATGTTATCCTCTGTACAAACCAACTAGGTGTTTTCCCTCTAAGGGAACCTAGCTGTCCGCCTTGATCCACTATTGAAAGGTATAAATAACACCTTTAAACGTAAAGTTCAAATACGCAACCCCTTTCTCAAGTAATAGAATAATGTTTTTAAACTCTTTCTCAAATATTGACTTGAGCGCCAGAAGAATCACGTCAAAAAATACTCTAACGGCTCTTCTAACCTTTTTTTTTTTGTGTGACAAAACTCCGTTCGAGAACTTACTTGAGAGTTTATCATTTGCAAAAAATTTCATTACTGGTCACCACCATTCTTCCTTAATGTCCTACTTGCTACTCCATAGCTGTTCACTGTGTGAGATTCAAGAGAACCCACATTGAAGTGACTTTCTAGACAGATTCAAGCTCAACAGGAATGAGATTTGTCATATCATTTATTGTGCTAAAATCATCCCGCACAGTAAACTTCGATATTATAACGTTTTGCTATGTTTTTTTAGGACCTCTTGTCTTCCAACAAAAATAAAATTAAAGAAGTCATAAAGCTTTAGGATAATGCGAATAGGGTTAAAACAACCTCACTCACTGATAAATCAAGTACCTGTAAATATATATTGGACCATCTTGTGTAAACTCTGCACAAAGACAGCGTTCGTTTTTGCATTCATAATTTGCTCACGTGACTGCTTAGTAATATATTGCTTCTTACTACCAAAAAAAATACTAGTCATGCATGCCATAGCCACTAAGTGAGACATTTATTACATCCACCAAATAATAATCAAATAACTAAAATCAATATCAAAATCAAGATCAAGAGCAGGTTAAAGTTGAGATCGTAAAAAGCGAAGCTCGTGTTCCAGCTTCTCTTTTTACAAACAAAACAACATGCATCCACACTCAAATTTTGTAGATTCGGAACGTATTAAGATGCATCGGTTCTGGTATTGTGAAACAGTATCAAATGATATGCTTACATAGAAAAAGAAATTGAACTGATGAAAGATCCAGCTAGCTCGGTTTGGGCAGAGGGAAGGTCAGGGAAGCACAAATCGTTTAAACAGTACCCCCCCCCCCCCCTCTCCTTCTCTTAAAAAAAAAACACACACACAGGGGAGCACAAGAAATTAGAAATTTCCCTTCCTTTGCATAGTTGCCAAAAATAATGTGAGATCGAACCACTGAATTCAATCAAAATTTGATTGCCCACCATATGAATGTTACAAGAGTGGCCCTCACAAAATTGCTGATAAAGAGGGGAAATTAAAAAACAAAATAGAACCACATACTTTAGCAGGATGTTATCAGTCACCCTTATGGCTGCTGGAGTTCCGCACAAGCTCTGACCCTTTATCCAGACATGCCAATGGCCACCAAATAGGGCATGTCTAACCTGTGCTCAAATACTGAAACCCCAGATTTAAAACCGAAATTTCATAAGTATTGTAAATTACTGTAAATAAAAATGGGCTTATTTGTATAGTACCATCCCCTTCAAACGTCTATTTCCTCGGGAATTCTTGCTTTTCCTGAATAGACATACTGCATCTCCTCCTTCCATGTCTGCAAAACTTCAAAATTATCAGGCTAGAGAAACGCCACCAATGTACGATTGCTAACTAAGACTCAATTGCCATGAATTAAGAAAATTTCTTTCCAGTGATGATGACTCATTTGGATTGTGTTCATCCTTGAACCTTTCACTGTCTACTCGATGAGTTATTCACCAACCACCTGGCTACAAGAGAACAAGCATAAACTTAAAGAACTCACCTCATCTCTGAAGGAAATCCTCATACTGGGTACATTAGTCTTGTGAATATCGTTTCCTTCTGGGCCCCTCTTGAAATATTTACTGCCGAGCCAATGCAACTGCAACAGTGATACCAAAGGATATTTTAGTAAGTGAAGTCAACCAACAAATCTGCTCTATGGCCCTTTAATGTTATCCATGCATCTCATTCAAACCTAAAGTTTGATTGGGGAATCGAAATCATGGGTAAGTAAACCCCTTCAATAACTGAAGTAAAATCTATATGTTTCAAGTACCTCAAATCAAAAAGGTCAGGTATTCAAACTCAAAATCAGTTCTCGTCTTGGCACTTTTTTCAATTAACAGCAAAAAATAGGTAAAAAAAAAGGAAAATGCTATTTGGACCTAATTTGGGGACCTTATTTGGGACCTAATGATGTGCAACTATTAGATTGATTGTAGGCTCCATCTAACATTAGAATTCACAACTAATCCAATAATTGCATTGAAGCCACATCATTAGGTCCCCAAATAAGGTCCCTATAGCATTGCTCAAAAAGAAAACCTATCATGTTCTAAGAGCACTGAAATTAACCCAATTACAACAAGTGAAAAAGCGAGAGTTAGAATTCCAAAGATGCAAATAAACTGCGGTTTATTCATATTTCTCACCTTGGCTTGATGTGAGAATCCAGACTGATAGACAGAATTTCTGGCTATCTCGCAAAGGTCACAGGAACTGAGCTTCCATAACTGGAACACTAAGGTTTTGTAAGCAACATAACCATGACCATGAGCGTAAACATTGGCAGAGACGGAATGGACAAACCTTTGCTGCAACGCTGTATTCTTCCACAAGAGGCTCCTTTGTTAAATGAATTTGTAGAGGGTCATCCGTAGAAAGCGATACATTTAAGCCACGCTGGAAGAACATCGGGAATGGGTTGCGATGATAGTCCAAGAAAAGTGAGTTATTACTCAGTGGAGACATGGCCAGTCCGATCTGAACAGAAGATAAATGGAAAGGTATCAATCATAATGAGAACAAAAAAAAAAAGCATACTTGATAGGTGCCAAACCTAGTATAGCCACCAACCTGAGAAAGGTAGTACAAGTACTGCAAGACGGGGGACTTTCGCAGATTGATCCCATGTGATATATTATGGCATAAAAGAAACCCAGCAGCCAAATGATCAATATCACCCGCCTGCACAGATTGTAAATGTTTTACATAGTATAGAAAGAACACAGGAAATTTAATTTGAGAGTTGAGACCCAAAGGGTAAAATTAGAATAACCTCTCCACAGTGAGGCCGGAATCTAATTGTTGGCAAGCCTTTTGATTCACGAAGCTGAAAGAAAAATATAACCAGAAATATGAAATAGCTGACTTCTTCATGATCTATCAGAACACAGATGATCTCTCCCTCTGTAGGGTGGATCTAGTACTATTGTGTATGGGTATGGGTATGGGTATGGGTATGGGTAGGTGTATGTGTATGTATGTCTGGGACACAGAGAGATTAAGGCAACATAATGACAGCATCACAACACTCGATGCATTACCAATAAGCTGGGAGGCTATGTACAAATGCTCTGTAAGATAGAAACATATAGCTAAGGGTTCTCGATATATTGTTCTTGACAACATATGGATAATATAAACAAAAGAAAATAATTCCAAACATCCCTTCCTGCAGCGAAAAGAGTCAAGTTTTCAGTCATGTGAATTACAATATGAATTATTCCAGACACCATAGAATCTCACCCTTGGGATTTCACTACCAGGCATACCATGCTACCATTGAGGAAACACTAAAATTTTTTTGGAGCACCAGGAATGCAATATATAAATAGTCCCAAAGAGAACTCCTAGTAATTTAACAGGCCTAAATAAAGGGAAAATGTCCAAGGAGAACTCCAGGCACTATGCCTTTAAAATTACTCAAGGCAGTGACACAAAGTAAAGCTGAATATTTGATCAACATCACTTCAGATAAATATTTTTTTGATAGGACACTTCAGATAAATTGACCATGCTAAGGTTGTCATCAATTGGAATTCCTAGACATTTCAGGTCTGCAATAACGAATACCACCATGGCATGAAACATATAATTTTTAGGCACTAATTAAACAGTCAATTGTTAGGATACGCTTAACAGTGTGCATCAGCACATACTAACATTTTTCATAACAATGACAAAATGAGATTTCGGTATCCTACAAACCTTATTGAGAGTATACAAGTTTGCATAGCAGTAATAAGCATAGTAAGAGTATGCAGGATTGAACTCATTTGTCCATTCAGCTGGCTTGGGCATATGCTTGGTAGGACGCCTTTCTGGTTTACTTTCATCATCTACGAGGTCGAAACCCACAACCTGCATTGAAAAATGCTGAATCACATTGGGCACTAGACGTAGACCGCAAACCCAAGGGCAACATTTTTTGTTGTGTATGTAATTAATGGCTTATATAATGTGTTCTCTGGTGACATGGTGAGTTAAATAACAGGAAGCCTCATGAAAGATGGAGAAGAATGAAATATGGTCTAAGCAACAGTTCTATGTGCATTATCCTGCTATTCAATTTCAAAATACACCCAAATAAATGCCACCATTGTTCACACTAGACAGAGGATCCACATTAAATTAGCCTTGCAACAAAAAAGAACAGAACTGCCTTGATAAAACAAACTGATTAGCAATACCATGCGATGTACAGATTACCAGTCAAAAGAAAAATGTTGACCAAAATCATTAATGAGGCAAAATCATGTCACATTGTCGCTAACAATTTCTCATATTATAGCAGTTTCAGAAAGTCTTGAGCATCATGAAATAGATCTCAAGAAATGCCAGATCTAATAGAAAAATCTTAGTATCCAAACTAGTAATTAGGTACCAGCTAAGGCACTGATAAGGCATGCACATTAGCCATGCAGCAGAACTTTCATCACAAATGTACCTTGTACAAAATTTAAGTTTCAGAAACTCTCACAACTCGTTCTTGAGTTGCAAGAAATAGCACAATCGGACAAAAGAACGCGACATTGTCAATATTAATTTCAAGTTATGTGCTGTTAGCTTTAAAATTCTTAAAATCTTCAGCAAAGCTTAGTTGTTAAATTATCCTTGTTTGTAGACGCTTTTCAACTCAGTTAACTCTTCCTTACATGCAATTTCTTCATTGTACTTAATTTGAATTCAGTTTCAAAAAACAGGTTAGAATTATGATTATACCTGGGAACGGACAGCCTGATGCTGTCCCTATCAAATGGTTAGTTGAATAGCAGTCCCAGATAAAATTGCTATAAGATGGAAAAAACGAGGATAAATGCAGACCATTGATAACGCTGAATACACAAGATAAGTGACGATACATATTGTCTACCACAAATTTACGCCAGTCTGCTAACTAAATACACCAAAGTTCCCATAATTATCAACTCACTGATTGTATGAGATGCAAAGACAAAGCTTTTAAACGTGAACAAACCTGCATTAGGAATACATGTAACTGAGGATGAGTATTTGGATCGATTGTGACTTCAAAAAGTGGTATGAACACATTATCCAAGATGTTCTGAAAAGATGTAACAGTGCCCATATTCTTGTACACATTATACAGCCGTGGTAGCTGCACAATGAAGTCACAATCAGAAACTAGCAAAATACGTAGAAACTTATGAAACTTGCAGAGCTGAAAAGCATATTCTAGGAAAAAAATAATGCACATGTATAGATACAATGCAAAGCCTAAAATGACTTCAGGTTCTTATCCCAATCACAACATCACCTTTGTTACAAGGAACACTGAGTTGTCCATCCACTTCCATTTGAATCACTACTCAAATGAAGTCATTCAGAAAAAAAAAATAACTATAATGAGAAGGTAAAATTGTATCAGAACCATTCTATTGAATTCTTAAATTCGAGGCATGTATAAATCTGTTGAAACTAAGTTGAAGCAGAAGCAAAAGAGAATGTAGAGAGTCAGAGCAATGCGAATGGACAGTGAGCCACATATGATGCGCATCTTCCAAAAAAAATTGTCTTTTACCTGGATAAACCAAACAGCATTTTCACTATGAATTGCATTGTTAATGACCCAACTAGCCAACTGATCCCATTCACTCTGTTTCCTTCCATAAATTGATATCCTGTATTCAGCCATCTGAAAAGCAGAGAATGCTGATATAAGAAGTTGTTGCAAATAACCTACTGCAACATCAGAATCAGCAAAAACTGTAGTTGTGACAACGTTCATAATTAATAAATTTCCCTTTTTTACCAGCAATTCTAGAGATAAACATTGCTAAGATTTGGTGAAGTATAGAGTGAACTACTTGGAGCCCAATCAGAGCAAGTAATGCATTGTGCATTGTTACCAGCAAACAGTAATACTCTGGCGAATTGCATTTTCATTTGCCTAATCCAAAACATGATGCAATAATGTTTAATAACCCTAAACCTAACTCCTTGGAGAGGGGGGGGGGGGAACCCTAATCTAGCATTCCAAAATTTATTTTTTCACTTTGCATTCAATTTTATGTGAAGTACCACAAAAGATAGTCAATAAACTGTAGTGTGGTTAAAGGTTGAGGCTAAGAAGAAATTCAAGAACTCTTATGAATTCTAATTATAATCATCAACCAACTTTAACATGTAGAAACACCTCATCACGTTCCTCCAATGCGATCTACATAAGCCTACCCCTAGTGCGTGTCTCTTTCATTTTGTGATTGAAACTATCTGTTTTCCAGGTAAATATTAACCTGTAAATAGATATCGTAAAAGGTGAATCGATCCACAATTAAAAAAAAAAAAGAAGATACATTCTTAATCAATGCCAACACATAAAGAAAGAGAATCCTTAAATTTAAGTTTGAAGTTTCACCAACACAATTTGTTACTTAAGGAAAATATCAAATACCAACTACACCAGTGGTGGTGCCAAATAGAAAATAAATGCACAAGGATAAAATACGTCCACATTCAATAAATTAAAATTGGTTTGACAGATCTTGATTCCTACAGGAAGAGATTCTTCATGTCTTTCACCCAAGGAAAAATACACAATTTCATCAGTTTAGCAACAAATCTCAAAATGCCAGATTGGGACCACCTAAGGCAAATTCAGAATCAAAAAATTTAGGCATTCTCAATTATAGACAGTGTATTCAGAAAACCAAAATGAAGTGGGAAAAAAAAAAAAGGAACAACTTCAGGCAAATTTCAAGGCGGGAAGGATTTTTCTTGGTCTAAAATGTTAATTTCCACTAATTCAAGCAACTTACACCTATCATGATTGATAGGACACAAAATCAAGTCCATCAGACCAAGCCCAAAGACCACAACTATGAAATTATTAAGATATCCTTAATATTCTTAGACCGCATCCAAGAACTAATAGGAATTATGGAAGTATGGTGTTGTGATTTTTTTCTCGAATATTTTTTAAACAAAAGTATGAGAGACGTTGCTTCATAATTTTCCATCTGGCTTACAATTAAGATTTTGCTCCTAAATTCTTTAATGTAATCTGGAACTCTCTTAGCACAGTACCCACAAACATAATTAGGATCCAATGATAACATGAACCAGACAAATCTAAAGTTTAACGTGATGTACACTGCTATAATTGTTCCCCAATTGACAAGTATAAACACTTCTAATCCCCAATTGTGAGGAAAATTTATGCATCAAACAACCACTGCATGCGAAACTCTAGTTGATCAAGAAGAAGAATTGCTCTGCAGAAGCCTCCAGTTACTCAAAAAGCTTTTTTGTCAATGATCATTAATATCCACTGCGAGGTGTCACGTTACCTCATTGATTGAGAAACTGTAATGTAATTTGAATTTGAAGAACCATGTATATTTGGAGATAGTTCTTGCTAGGGAACCCTTCCACAAATAATGAATAAGTTAACTTGCATTACTTGCTGTTTCTCAATCAAATATTTGATACTGAAGCTTTTGTTGACCTTCACCTTCTATCCACAAGGAAGAGAAATTGTCTCTTGTCCTTTTCCAAAGAACATATATCTCCTCCAAATAAAGTTTGAAAGACAATAAATGACCACACCTGGTATTTACTTGCTTCGAGATCTAATAAAACCTGCTTTGTCACTTCTGCTATATAACGACCTGAAATGTAAATCTCAATTAATCAAAACCAATAAATAATTTCTCTGTCCTGACCTTTGTTTTCTAAAACATCTATACAATAAAACAGATGAGTTTAGTCAAGTAGCAAAATGCAGATTCCTAGTTAGCAAGCATCTTTGTCAATCAGCTTGATAATATGGTATGCTTATATGATAACCAATAGATCAAATCAAACAAAATAGTAAATTGATACTCTCTTAACTGTCATGCAACTTGTCAGAGTCTAAAGGATATAATCAATTGTGAGATGTTACATTTGATTTCATCATGCAACAGACCTTGGATGAGATTGTCCTGCTTTAAAAAGATTTCTCTCAGTCTGCTCTGGCCACAAGGATTATACTTCAGGTTGAACTTGTCAAATCGATGAAAGGTACTCTTATCAGCATGCACATCCAACAAATCAACATTAAGATCATACCTGCAATGCAATTGCTTATTATGAGAGAGAGAGAGAGAGAGAGAGAGAGAGTATCTCCACTTCTAATCTCAGAAGAAAAAGATGTAAGGAACATAATTTGAGCACACCCTGTTAAGTCCAAACTCTCAAAGACTTCCTTAAGCGTAAGATACTGCCCATCACGGAATATGACAACCTGCAGAAAGTAAGTCAAGAGCACAATTAAGGAGCATGAACTTTACAAAACTATAATAATAAAAATCTGTCCGAAACAGTGTTCAACTGAAAGAAACAGGGCAATAGAACTAGCAAGAAATACATATTGTACCTCATCTGGCTCTTTTCTTAATTTTGACTTAATGAAGCGAAGAAGTTGCTTCTGGTTCATACAAGCAGAATGATGCACATGGGTATCAACTTTTCTAATGTTGTAGAAATCACGGTGGGGTGCACTTTTCTGAGCTAAAAACTCTCGATCTGCATGTACTAACAGATGAAGGCGGAATTTCTGTGTAATATTTTATATCAAGTCAGAAATGCAGGTGAAAAAATATGATCACCGCAGGTCTCAAGAACAATGTAAGAAGAACAATACCTCCTCAAGAAATCTTAGTCGGAGATGACACACAGAACGAACATTTCCAATGGAGATTGCTTTAAGGATGTGATGCATATCCGTAAAAAAAGTCGTTGAACTTGCAACAGGGAAAAGATCTTCAGTATCTAAAAGAATAAAATTTAAAATCAACAGAATGCTTGAACATTCTATAAAGAGCAAACTAAATAATCCAAGGGAACAGTATACTCTTTAACCTAGCTCTACAGCAATGGACTCTTCTTGGTTTGCAGAATTTACCTTTTTCCCTTGCATAGATGTGTACAACTCCATCTTCCATCCTAAAGCAGTGCTGCTTGCAAAATGAAGAAACAAATCAGAAAAAGATGCCCGAGCAATAAAGGGATGGTTTCACTTGAAAGCTTTGCAATGCAAATACACGAAGCCAATCCTCAGACCACATACAGATATCAATGAGTATCGGGCAACTCACAGAGGTTGTTTCAAAAGGCACAAAGTGAAATGGATCACTGTTGACATTTGAAGGGCTAGACTTTCCCCCAGTTTCCTGCATCCAGGGAGCAACTTTTTCACGGAAAACATATTTATCCCGCAGATCTAAACACTCACGGATCATCTTCAGCACTTGTTCATCTTCGATGTTTGTTGACTCTGAATTCAATAATTTCCGCAGGGAATAGAAATGGAATTAAATATTAAGCATTATGATGAGACAACATAACTAAGACAAGCACACACAATTTAGGCCAACAATTAAACAACTGATCAAATGGAAAAACTTGCCACCTTGAGCAGGAGAAAATTATGGTATTGACAGGAGACGTACCATAGCAGCAGGCCACCAATGTGCTATCAAATTAATAATTGATCCAAACGACCTAAATCTTTAAAAACTGGGAGGCAAAAATGCAAGAAAGAAGTATCGACAAATACTCTTTAGGACCAGGAAGTTGAGAATACCATGGACTGAAATTGTCAAAGGTACAGTACTGCTGGCAAACATGGGATCATTCCCGATAACGTGCACTGATCCTGTATTTATCTTTCCATCGCCATGGTCTACACTGACATTTTCTTTGTTTGCAATTGATGTGCATCTTTGAACTTGCATGTGGTTCACATTATCAGCTTTTGATGGTACATTGGATGGATTATGGATGCTTGAATTGATATCCTGCAACAAAGCATCAAAAAACTTATGAAGGGCTGAAGAGAATCTCCGTGGTACTTCTTTCTATCATTTTGGAAGCAACAGAACTAGCATAAGAAATGACAAGAGATAAAAGATAGCTAGAACGAATCAATTTCCAAAAATATTAGAAGTTAGATCCAGTCAAATAATTTATGGGGCAGTAAAACGATTTCTCTTTTCATGCCTTTTAACTGGGGACTCAAAAAAACTGCCTAATTAAAGATTTCAAATATATATAGACAATCAATCCAGAAAACAAATGTATTCATCGTTATGTCTCGAGTCTCAACATTGTCATGAATCATGACTTATCCAGACAGATGAAGAACTTTACATTAGTGTCGTGGCCAGATAATTCTTCTAATTTATATCTCTCAGTCAAGGCCATAGTCGGAAGACCTGCATCACTGTCTAAAACCAATAGCATCTCTGTCTCCCATTTGTATAGCTCTATAATCTATCCTAAGTTCAACAAATGAGATGGAAAACTTCAAGTACTAATTATATCATGTAAGCATCGAGATTTAAACATATTAATTATCAAAGAGAAGAGAACCATGCATTGGCTTACTTTTTCAAGTTCAGCTGAAGAATTTATGTTCTCATTGGTGAAAAGGAACTCGTCTCCCGTTTCAAATTCGGTTCCTTCCTCATCAGAATCCCCCGCACTTTCAAATGCATAACCACCCAAGGATATTGGAGTCATTAGCCTACCACCAAACTCCACACGCATATTAGAACCAGAATTATCACCATACTGATCCTTTGCTGCACAAGAACAAAAATATTTGAACATTAATTTTACAAGTTGAAGATGTAGATCCAAAGAAATATGAGGACAAAGGGTAAGATCTGATTACTTATAGGATTGAATTTTTTTGCTTTTGACCATTTCCATGTCAAGGCAAAATTGTGATCATCTTTACATGTATCCATAGAATATTTGGCATGATGTAAGTAATGAATAAACGTGATTTAATGTCATTCTAATTGCCGTCCCAAGAGTATTAGTATTTTGGGCATTGAAAGATGGTAGCGGACAATTTCATAAAAACTATAATATCCATTAATTTTGATTTAAATAAAGCAATCCATCAGGATCACATATCCACCCTATATCTTAGAATACGTGTGGAATGTTGAAGTATGAAGTTAAACAGAACTAATCCTCCTAAAATATGCATCTGTAGCCCTCCTTTCAATGGTTACAGTCCACATCTATTACCATCATACAAACACCTACATCTAGGTTTAAAGTGTTAAAATGATTGATAAGAATTATGGAAGGCTTTCTCTCTTCTCTCTTCAATTCAGGTCCCATATGATATTTTTGTCTGATTCCTGTGCTTATGAATCAGAACCAACATTAATTAGTTCCAAGCTGAAACAAATGGCCACAAAAAGAAGTTGATATCAGCCCATACAAACTTTATAAAGTTTATTGAGCTAATTTGATGTCAGATTCATGTGACACGGGGGTGGAAGAAATGTGATGTGGGGTTATGAAATTAATTAAACTAAACAGAGGTCGAATACACCATCTTAGGCAGGAAGAAATATCGTGCCTATGTCAATCTCTTTTGCCGAACTTAGACAACATGCTATTCAACATATGTGGTGCATTTATTTCTAATATATCCCCAAAAACAAACAAAAACAGAAGAAGGAAAAACAGAAGAGAAGAAGAATTAATAGAGCCATGCTTCTATGCAATGATTAGATTTTTATATAAATGTTTCTGAGCTTTTGCACTTGAAAACAATAAGTATTATATTATCCGATAGGTATAAGCATCGTTGATTTTATGTCTGTATCGTATTGATTACATGAAGAGGTTATATTCCTACAAGATTCTTGGCATGTCTGCCTTTCCTTCTGTCTCCGCATTACCACAATATCGAGTGAGAGCAAATGTTGCGAGTCATGTGACATACCAAGCGACGCTTAGAAACTCCAAAAATTGCATAAGTTTTTACCAAGTCTCTACGGTCGTGTCACTAAGGTTAAATTAAATATAATTAAAACAAAAATCATGTGGAAAACCAACGTGATGACAATTCTTAAGATGCTAATGGCACAGATTATTATTTTTTTCTTCAAGAACAATACAAAGATCACAACTGAAGAGAATGATTGCATTGTCGAAGCATAGATCAATAAACAACCAAACCGAACACGTACCATCTCTTAGATCAGTTCGAAGAGACTGTAGATTTGAAGAGATCAAACTGAGATTATTCAAAGAATTCGACAAAGCCTGATTAGCTCCAAAACTCATTCGCCTATCCGTATTCGCCTCGTCATTCATCCACCCACTCGATGAACAAACATTCGGCATCGAACACGAAATTCTATAGCCATTAATCACACTATCATCACCCAATGAAGTAAACACACCATCCCTCCACATATACTCCCTATCATCACTCTCGTCTCTCTCTCCACCATAAGCGAGAACGTCTGTGTAGTGTTGCTCGTCCTCGGCATCTTCATCGGAAATGAAGAAGCGATCCTCGACGGGAGGAGGGGACTTGCGGCGAAGCTTGATGAGGCGGTCGAGGACTTGGTCGACGCTGCGTTTGTGGACATAGAAAGCTGAGAGAGCTACAACCGAGGCTCCGAATAGTGCCGCCAATGCGAATTGCAGAGCCGATACTGATGGCGATGATGAGTCCATGGGTTTGGTGCTTGTTCTGGGTTTTGGGGGTTTATTTTATTATGATGAGGTCGCTTGATGACAGTATGTAGAGGTGCTCGTGTGTGTGTGTGTCAGCCTTGAAAGCCTTTTGGAGCCACACAAGAAGCACACGTAGGCAAACATTTTAGTCGTTATTTAGCTTTTTGTCTGTCTGAGATGTCAATTTTTATTTTTCAAATATTTAAAATTATTGAAATGTTTTTATCTTTAAGTAAATAAATTGTTAATTGGATCAAAATTTTAATATATTGATGTATTTTTTAATATTTTAAATTATTTTTTGATATATCTACTAATATTTTTTAAATATTTTAAGATATTTTAGCATATTAGAAATAAATCCCATATTTTTTATTTATTTTTATTCTATTTTTAAAATATTTCAAAAATATTTTTATTTCTTAAGCAACCAAAATAATATATTGAAATGAAAATTTGATCATTTAATATGACAACGTTATTACCATAAACTTTGTTTTTTGTTATTTAAACTCATTGATTGTAAAAATAATAACATAATATAAATTAAAAAATAAAAATATGTGCACTTTCACTTTTTTAGTAAATAAAAATATATATACAATATGAGGCTGTAACTTTCCCATATCATATCCTATTATGATTAAAAAAATAATCGTATCCTATTTATCTCGAATTGCTTTTAAATTTATTCTTATGTGTATCTATTTTCCTGTCTTATATAGCTAGTTTCGTGTTAATTAAATTAATTTGTTTTTAATATTATTCATTAATTGAATATCTAATTTATTATGATCATTGAATTAGCAATACATGCGAGTCTGAAATAAAATTCACTATTAAGCGTACGATCACAAAGTACATTTGGTATTCAAATTATATACAAATAATATTATTCTTTATTTTGCATGTGTGTGTACATATGAGGTGAGGATAAGTTTTAGTTTATCTTTACACGGGTTTATTCAAATATTATTGTATACATTCATTGATTAATACATATGATTCATCTCTAAAAGAAACGGGATAAATTTGGATAAATTCTTTTTTTTTTTCCAATCCACTACCATCTCTATTCCATTTGTGTATCTTATACTTCAATTTTTAGGATTACTTCTTTTTCTTTTTTTTTTTTTTTTTTTGGGGGGGTGTCTATCAAGTAGTTTAATATGGAGTGATTGGGTGGGCTTGTGAAAGAGGCTATTTGGATTTCATTTGGTTTGGGCTTGAGATCGTTTGAGACTATGAGGTTGAGGTGGACCCTACGAGTTCCAGGTATTTATACCGTTGGATCTATATACAATAAAATTGTGGACCCGTTATGAATTAAGCCCATACATTCTCATTAGTCTTAAGCCCATAAAAAGGCCTCTACGTTCTTTAAGAACGCGGGCCAACCTCAGCTTCTTGCCGGTCATCATTATGGGTGTTAATTGAAACAACTATTCGGACTCAACTTGAAAAAGACTTGGTTTGAGATCAATTCATGTTTTAAACAAACAGAACTTGAACTATTTTTTATGCTCATTTAAAAAAATTAGTCTAAAAGCTCGGTTCAAACTCACAAAACTCTCATTTCTGTATAAAATAGTCGAACTATTTGGAATTGACTCGAGTTCTAAATAAATTGAGTTGGAACAATCTTTTAACCTCATTTAAAAAAAAGTTTGATAAATTCGAGTTCAAACTCACAAAATTCGGTTCGACGAACCGAATTTTGTACATTTAAAATAGTAGAAATCTATTAACTTATTGCAATTGGATATATATAATTTTTAAATAAGCGGCGGTATTATAATTCAGTTGAAGCGTATTATTCTATAAATTTACTATTTTATCCATCAAATAAATAAAAATATGAATAATTAGATTATATTGATGATTTTTTTGTCAATATATAATTTGTACTTAATTGTCTCACTCTTAATCTAATGGTTAATATTTTTTACCCATATTTAATTTTATAATTTATCCGTTTTTATGAAATTAGTCTGTATTATCTAATATAATTCATTCTTTACAATTTTGCAAAGTCATGGTAAATGATATACTAAAGAGGAAAAATAAAAAATATATATCAATATAATAAAGTAACTTACAATTCAAATCTTAAAAAATAAACAAAATGACTTTTGTTATTCGTGGTTGAGATCGCTTTAAATTTTATTTTAAAGTTAATCTAACAGCTAATATTTAAACTCCAAATTTAATATGAAAAAATAGGCCCCTAAGGGTGTATTTGAAATAATTTTTTAAAAGTGTTTTATGAATTATTTTTCATAAACACTTTAAAAAAAAAATTATTTTGAGCTCCATCACTACTTTTACCACCACTGTCACCGCCACCTCCACTGCCACCATCACTGTCGCCACAACCACCATCGTCATCGTCTTTGTCGCCATCACCACCATTCCCACTGTCGCCACTGCCCTCACCTCCACCTCCGTAACTATCGCTGTCAGCGTCGTCGTCATTGTCACTGCCACCACCACAGTCATTCCCGTCGCCGCCACCACCCTTGTCGCCGTAGCCACCACAACTATTACTGTCTCCTACCACCACCACTACCGTCCACTATCTCTTACCCTCATTACAAATCGATGTTTAAATTCTTTTATCTCTTTTCTATATTTGAAATTTAATTTTAGATATAAATAAAAATATATTTATTGTTTACCATTTTTTATTAATTTGTGCCTTCAAGCACAGACAATAAATAGTATACATATATTACAGAAGATTTCATTCATATACATTTAGATTTTCAACCTTGTTCAGATTAAGAAAAAGTCGTCTTCATCAATATATTACTTCATTGAATCCGCACGAGTAATTCAGTAGTATCGAGTCAATTGGAACAATTCAGTAGTATGATATTTGTAGTTAGCAGATGAGTAACCCGGAAGTACTTAAGTTTTACTCTGCATGGCAGCATGGGTACTTCTTCTTGTAAGTTTCCTCAGACAGAATATTCTTCTCAAAAGATGACAGATTTTTAAATCTTGGAGTAGGCTTGGGTACCGAAAACGTCAAAATGGGTACCGTACTAAAATGTTAAAAGAATCGGATGCTCGCCACGTATATATTCTAAATCTTATAAAAATTTATAACCGATTTCACCGATTTCGGTATATACTTTAAAAAATTTAAATGATAATTATTTGTTATATTTAAACATGAAATAAAAATATAAGAAAAAATTTACAATTGGAGTTATTGAGTGAACATGAACACGAACCCTATACACTTTAAAAATAAGTGAACATGAACCCTTATACACTTTAAAAATAAGTGAACATGAACCCTTTACATTTAAAAAAATTTAATCATGAACCCTATACACTTTAAAAATAAGTGATAATAGAAATTAAAATGATAATTATTTATTATATTTAAACATGAAATAAAAATATAAAAAAAAATTTACAATAGTTGGGGTTATTAAGTGAACATGAACATGAACCCCTATACATTTTAAAAAATTTAAACATGAATCCCTTACACTTTAAAAATAAGTGATAATAGAAATTAAAATGATAATTATTTATTATATTTAAACATGAATAAAAATATAAGAAAAAATTTACAATATTTGGAGTTATTGAGTGACATTAAATATACCATTTTAGATTAAGTAAAAAATATTAGGAGGTTATATTAGATTATCTAAGTTTACCACTATTTTAAGTGATAATAGAAATTAAAATTAGTTTTAAAAAATGATAGTTATTTATCATATTTAAACCTGAAATAAAAATATAAGGAAAATTTTACAATATTTGGGTAAAATTGCCATTTGTTGGGGTTATATTTTGGGTTAAGTTAAAATTAGGGGTATAAGTGAAATTTATTGGACATATCTTGAGCGATCGAGATTAGCCCGTAACATCTTGATCGAGATTAGTTCAACGAAATTATTTTGTAACTTGATTGCTACCAATCGTTATATACGCGATCGAGAATTTTGTTAGCGATCAAGATAAGACATAACTCCAAAGTCTCCAAGGTGATCACTCAAGACTCTCAAGCCTCTCTCAACTCCCTTGTCTTCTATTCTCTCAAACTCCTCAAAACTCTAAATTAGAGATTAAATCCCAAATCTAACCCAAATGGATGAAAAACCAACCTGATTGCATACCAAAACCCTAAATCACAACCATTTTTAGATCAACCACCTCCCAAATCAGTGAAAACCCAAACTGGTGAAAATCCGAAACCCCAAATCGGTGAAAACCCAAAACCCACTCCCACCGCCTTCATCTTCTCCAAGGTTCTTTCTTCTCTCTCTCTTTCTCTCAATTTCATCATATTTTTGTATACATAGTTGTCTCTCTCTCAATTTCATAATAATTTGGTACAAATGGGTTGAGAATTATCAAAGCAATTGATTCCAGTTGTTGCTCTCTCTCGCTGTCTTCATCTTTCTTCGCTGCTCATACTACACGGACTCTATATTGGAACTCTCCGCTGCTGCGATTGATTCCAGGTACATGCTGAAACTATCTATTTCTCTCCCTCGCTCTCTCTTTCTGTTTCTCTCTCCACTACTTTTTTCTCTCTCTCTCCATTGCCACCCTCCTCTGCCTCTGCTTTTCTTCCAAACACTCACCTTGCATAATGTCCATCAAGTGTTCGATCAAATGCCACAGAGGTGTTCCATACGCAGAGCACTCACCGTGCATTGTGCACACACTTGATGCACACAGAGCACACACTATTTATCACAGAACACACATAAATGAGAACTTAGTCGAAGCTTTAAAAAAAAAGGAAGAAAGAAGACAAAAATGATGAAACATATGATTCAAAAGAACTTGAACAATGTTCACTTTATTAAAACAAAGAAATGAAAGTTTGAGTTGGTAAATCATTCAAGCCTTTAATTCAAAGATGGAGTCCCATACCCGCAGCCACTGCCATAGTCCATCAAATGATATATTTCAAATCGTTTCTTTTAGTTCTTTGATTTACTGTTATTGTATTGAATTTATTGCTTGATATCTATTCATACTAACCTAAAAGTAGGGATATTTTTTCCTTTTGTTTAATGGCTTGATTCATAGGTTGTTTCTACCCTATAATTTGTGTTCATTTTTTGCTTGATCACCCGAAATGGGTTGAATTCTTGACTGATTAATTATTTTGAGTATTATATCTGTGGTTGAGAATTATGTTTTTTGTGAATGACGGTTTATTGCTATTGCTCAAAAGTTGTTCAATTGTTAATTGTTATTGCTCAAAAGTAATAGATAATGTTCCATGTTATTGTAGATTTTTTTCTTGTTACAACAAAGTATAATGACCAAGAAGTATAGGCCAAAAGTTGATACCAGTGAAAAAATGAAGAGGAAGGAGAGCTGCAATGAGGGAGGTCCCTCGAAGAAGAAGAAATGTAATCATCCTCCCTTCGTTGATCCGTCCTCAGTAGTTAATCTCACCTCCACCAATCCAATTGATCCCTTTGTTGATCCCACCTCTACCAATCCAGTTGATCCCTCATTCAATACATCAAGTTCACCCAATCCCAATCCCAATCCCAATCCCAATCCAACAAGTTCATCCAATGAAGACATATATTTCTTCAATGATGATTGCAAACATCGGTATGATAATTGCTTTTATAATAGACCTTTGTTATTGGAGAGGGGTGTTGTACTTGATGAATTAAAAGATGTAGGATTAGATGTTATTTTTGCTTTTCATCGATGAAATTATTCAGTTCATATCAAGAAGATGGATAAAGCATATAATACATTGCTGAAGATATTTTATTCTAACTTGCATGATATTGATAAAATTAATCACAAGTTTAAGTCCCTTGTGAGGAAGGTGAGTTTTGAAGTAACCCCAGATTTAGTTTCAAAAATATTGGGAGTTCACCGACCCTTCCTTCATGATGATACACTTTCTTATCCATTCAATAATTCTAAGCACATACATAAGTTGGAAGATGTTTATACAGAAATCGAGGGTATACCTAATAATTTTAGTGAGAGTGTTACTGATCCATCATTTTTTCAGCAACAGCTGACTCCTAAATATAGGATTTTAAACCTTATAGTGGGGTACAATATTCATCCAATTGCACATAATGCTGATTTTGGACTTGATCGAGCTTATCTCCTGTATGTCATTGGAACGGGTGTGAGTATAGTAGATCTACCTTGTTTAATAATTGATTAAATTATTTCGGCACACGATACGAATGATAGTCGAAAATGTCTCTCATTTCCAATTTTGATTTCAAAGATTATGAAAGATTGTGGAGTTGTGATTCACTCAAGCAATGCTTATTCTACTCCCATGAATCCAATTAATGGTGGGACAATAAAAAAGAGTTTGAGACAAGGGAAGAATAAGAAAACTCAGCCACAACAGAGTTTGGGGAAAGAGAAGAATAAGAAAATAGAGTTTGGTTGTTGCTATTCCTACAACTGGAACCGACAACATACATAAATAACTCTCAATCATAACTCTAACACTCTAATAATCAAATTGAAATTGAAATACATACACATCACTTATAAACAAATAATAATAACAATAGATACTTCTTTCATATTTGTCAACTTCTTAAAGATAACCACACCATTTTTTATTTTCAAATCATCACATGCTCCAATGCGGAGAATGGATTGACATTTAATTGGCACAAGGGGAACCCCTGTGGTTGTCAGGTGCTGTAGATAAAAAATCTATAACAAGCAACTACTCTCGATTAGAATAAATTATAACAACCAACTATTCTCAACGTAATTTGAAACAAAAACAACAATACTAAGTAGAAGATCTTTTAGGTAATCAATACATTACCTTGAGAACTAGTAGACAACCACCAATATTGTTTTGTCCATATGTCTTATATTTTTTCACCCTCTCAATCAGGACATCAAACACCAACTTGGCCCAGTTCTTCACTCCCAAAGAACCAACCTCCACCATAGAATAGAGGAATGAACTACTAATTGAGGTTTTTGTTGTAGGATACAATAGACATCCAAGTACAAATAAGACAAAGATACGCCGAAAGTCTTCTGAATCCACCTTCATTTCACTCAATTTGTTATTCAAATAGTTCACTAGAATATCCTTCATTCCAGTGAACATGGAATTACAGATTCCATTTATTCTTTCATAGGGGCCACTCGTCTCTACATCTATCCCCCCATATCTCAACCTCAATATAGATTCTACATCCTGAGGAGAGAACTTTAAGGATTTTTCGTGAATATTCAACAAACATGAATTAGGGTCAAAGTGCTCAACCACCCACTCACACAAATCTCTCCTCAATATTTTGCATTTGATGCTTAACAAACCTCTGAAATCAATCTCTTCAACCCCATTTTTTTGTTCATCGCTAAACTTCTCGATTGCTTTCACCATTAGTCCCGGGAAACATCTGGTTCTCAACTGTACCATCAAATATTTGTCATTATACAACACACAACATAAACACATGTTACACAAATAATTTAGTATTATGATTTACCTTTTTTTTTTGATGTAGATTCCTTTTTGCACAACTCCTTTTCCTTTTTTGATGCCTTTTCCATCTTTATATATTTTTCTTTCTAACAATCTTTCATATTCTTCCATTGTAATCCAAGTTGTTTCATGAACTGAATGAGTGAATGAAATGGTTATACATACACATATGCAACATATCCCTTACATAGTGGAGAATTACATAATATCCCTTATCCCATGACCGAGTTTTTTGTTTTCTTTTCCGTTCATTGTCTTCAAACAATCTTTGCTACAATGGACAAATAACATCATCAATGGCATACAAATAAGATCAATAAAATTCGTTTAGTATTTAGATTATACAAATTTCTCACTAATAAAAAAACCATGAGCTTGTTGACCGATTAGATTCATTCTTCTTCTCCCTGAATATAAAATCCACAATTAACCATAAAAAGAGTTTCATTTTTTTGTGCTAAACAATAGAACTTATAGACTATGATTAAACAGAACTTACATTATAAATGAGCTGGGATTACAAATAATAGAGAAGAGGAGGAGGTTGCACCACTGTAGAAGACTTGAACAAAGAACCAAAGTAGAGAAGAAATACGAAACAGACGAACGAGGAACCGAAGCAAAAGAGAAGAAAGACGATGAAACCAAGCAGAAGAGAAGAAAGAGGATGAACCTACTAAGCTACTAAGCTTCTCGAAGAAGGAACATAAATGGATTTAGACGGGAACTGGATTAGTATCGTGTCAAAATTTCATTCATCCATTTGTCCATATATTATTGGCCTAATGCCAATTTTTTTTTTAAAAAAAGTTGATTTGATAAATTGAATTTTTTTTAAATAGTTTTAGATGTTAATTTGATTAATTAATCGAAGAACCAACATAAATGGATTTAGGCGGGAATTGGGTTATTGTGGTGTCAAAATTTCATTCATCAATTTATTGGCCTAATGCCAATTTTTTTTAAAAAAAAAATTGATTTGATAAATTAAATATTTTTAAATAGTTTTAGATGTTAATTTGATTAATTGATAGTTAATTGGATGAATTTGATTAATTTACGTTTATTTTAAATGTTAATTTGTTGAATTAAGTGTTAATTGGATGAATATGAATGTTAATATAATTTGATGAGTTGAATGGTAGATGGAAGTTAATTTGATAAATTAAATATAAATGAGATGAAATTGAATGTTAGTTTAATAAAGTGAATTTTTATTGGATGTTAATTGAATAAATTAAATGTTAATTGAATGATTATGGATATAAATTAGATGTATTTAATATTAATTAAGTTGATTTTAATGTTAATGAATGAAATGTTTTAATGTAATATTAATTTGTTATGTTAATTAAATATATTAATTTTGATTGCTACTCTTGATTGCAATAGTATACTTGATCCCAGATCACTTGATCTTGATCACTACCCGATCGCTAATCGCACTTGAACAGATTGATCGCTATCGTGATCACACTTGATCCCAATCTTGATCGCTACCTTAATCCCAATCTTAATCTCAATTTTGATCGCTACCTTGATTCCAGTCTTGATCCGAATCTTGATCCCAATCTTGATCATTACCCAGCTCTCGATTGATCGTGATTCGCAATTTTGATTGCTAAAAGCTCTTGATCGATCCAAAAGAGTGCTAATATTGAAAAAAAAGTGACAATATTAACCAAAAAAATTGTAATGTTAACAATGGTACTAACCTGTAATCTTAATCAGTTGTATTGTTAACAAAAAAAATGGTAATATTAACCAAAAAAATAGTACTCATAATAAAAAAGTGTAATTTTAACCCAAAAAAAAAAATTGCTAATGTTAATCATTACAATTGTAATTTAACGAAGAAAGTGATACCTTAACAAAAAAAAATGTAATCTTAACTGAAAGATTGGTAATATTAACCTAATTAATGTTAACCAAAAAATATAATGTTAAACACAAAGTGGTCTTAGCCTAAAAAATGATAATGTCAACCAATAGTGACAATATTATCCAAAAAAGTTGTACTTTAACCAAAAAAGTATTAGTCTGAACGAAAACAGTGGCAGTTAATCTTAACCAAACAGTGGCACTCTTAACCAAATTAACCAAAATTGTGTTAATGTAACCAAAACAGTGGTACGCTTAACCAAAAGTGGTAAGATTAACCAAAAAAATGTAATATTATCCAAAACAGTGGTACTTTTAACTAAAACAGTATTAACGTTAACTAAAAAAGTGATAAATATTATCCAAAATATGGTAATGTTAACCAAAAAAATGGTACTTTTAACCAAAACAGTGGTATTGTTAACTAAAAAAATTGTAATATTAACCAAAAAAATGATACTCATAATTAAAATAGTGGTAATATTAATAAAAAAAAAGTGGTACTATTAACTAAAAAAAGTTGTAATGTTAACCAAAAAAATTGTAATTTTAACCAAAAAAGTGGTACTCTTAACCAAAACAATAGTAATGTTCACTAAATAAGTAGTACTCTTAACGAAAACAGTGATACTGTTAACCAAAAGAATGATAATCTTAACAAAAAATAGTGGCAATATTATCCAAACAGTAATACTCTTAACCAAAATAGTGGTAATGTTAACCAAAAAAATAGTACTCATAATCAAAGCAGTGGTAATATTAACAAAAAAGTTGTACTATTAACTAAAACAGTGGTACTCTTAACCAAAATAGTGGTAATGTTTACTTAAAAAGTAGAACTTTTAACTAAAAAAATGGTAATATTATCCAAAACATGATACTTTTAATCAAAATAGTGATATTGTTAACCAAAAAAATGGTAATATTAACCAAAAAAATGATACTCTTAATCAAAATAGTGGTAATATTAACCAAACAAGTGGTACTATTAACTAAAAAAGTTATAATGTTAACCAAAAAAGTTGTAATCTTAACCAAAAAAGTGGTACTTTTAACCAAAACAGTGGTAATGTTCACCAAACAAGTGGTACTCTTAACGAAAACAATGGTACTATTAAACAAAAGAGTGGTAATTTTAATAAAAACAGTGACAATATTATCTAAAACAGTGGTACTCTTAACCAAAATAGTGGTAATGTTAACTGAAAAAGTGATACTCATAATCAAAACAGTCGTAATATTAACCAAAAAAGTTGTACTATTAACGAAAACAGTGATACTCT